GACACGTCTGCCTTCCTCCCTCTGAAACCTTGTCCGCCGTCCCGCGTGCTGTCACCAGCCCATGGGCGTCCAGGCTGACCGCTGAGGCCAGCCCTCCTGCTTCCCGTGCCCTTCCAAACCAGCACCACGGAGCTGCTGCAGGCAGAGGAGTAGCCGAGCGTCATGCCATCTACCAGCAAAGGGCTCTTGCTTGTCCGCGGGGCTCCTCCCCTGGAGCTGGTGCCAGGGCTGAGAGGTTGACGGATCCCTGCAGCCTCTCCCGAGACCCAGCCCCTCCTCCTGGGCTGCTGGCTCCGCTGCCTGCCGTGACTGAGACTTGGAAGGGCCGTTTCCACGCTGGCTGACCGTCCCTGTCGACTTGGGATGGGGGAGGTTACCCCACATCTGCTCAAGACACCAGAGCTCTTTGTTTCATCTCAGATGGGTGCAGAAGAAGCCCACGGGGTCTCTCAGTGCGGCTCATGAATGGGGGTCTGCCAGAGCCCAGCCTGGAGCAACGCCGAGAGCGGATGGTGCAGAACTACTGTGCATGGCACTGAGTCTTGCCAGGGCCGCGTGGCCGGAGAGAGTGTTGTTTCTCGTCTGCACCTGTACTCTCAACGCCTTCCTCTTCAGTTGATTAGCATAAGGGACTCTTCGAGAAGGGCCCAGCAGTTCCTCTCTGTCAGGCCTTTTACTGGAAAGGCCTATGGTCAGATGTTTCCTGAGCTCTGACTGTGGGCCATGCAGGGGGCTGCTGAGACCAGTGTGTTCATTGATTGACTTAGACACTCTGGTACAAGGCACAGGATCAAGTAGGTGTGGCCCTGCTCTTGGGGCACTGGGACTTGAAGTGAGAAGAGATGCCAACCTGTAGGTAGCTAAAATAACGTCGGAGAGTGGGAGAGAAGCAGAAGATGAGAGGTGGCTGCCAGGGGACCCCACTGAGGGAGGGAACAGACTGGGCATGAGGGTCAGGAGAAGAGCAGGGGGCAGTGGTGGTGTAGTCTGGGGCGTGGAGACGGAGCAGGCTGGCTCTGGAGGGTAGGGCAGGCCCAGTGGCTGAAGCCAGGCTGGGTGTGGGGCGGCGTCCCCATCCCAGCAGAGGTGAGCAGCTCAAGTCCTCTTCTCTCGAGTCCTCTCAGTCTGGAGACCCCTCAAGGGCAGGTAGGCCAGCAGGGTCCTCCGTGGCCCCACAACCTGCTGAACAGGAGCAGCTTCCTGTGCTAGTGTCCACATCTGGCCTCCACGCAGCCTGGGCCCCACAGGGTCCTGGAGACGAGCAGGTGAGCAGGTGGCGCAGTCTGCACAGTGAGCTCGGCACCAAATGAGAAAATGCAGACGAAGCTGCCCACAGTCCCCCGTGCTCCTGCATCCATGGTGGCTGCCCACAGTTCCCCGTGCACCTGCATCCGTGGTGGCTGCCCACAGTCCCCCGTGCTCCTGCATCCGTGGTGGCTGCCCACAGTCCCCCGTGCTCCTGCATCCGTGGTGGCCCAGGCCTGAGCATCGGCCTGTGGCATGTCACCCAGTCGGCTCTGGCATGAGGGGCGTGTTTCCAGGTCAGAGAGTGGCTCTCCTTACTCTACGGGCTGCCCGGCATCCTGACACCTCATGGGCTTGGTGGCCCTTCCTACTTGCAGGTGGCTGTCGTGAACTCATCAGGCCCCTGTCAGCGAAGACTTTCTGTGGCCACTTGATATATTTGTAAGGAAGAATGTGAGGCATGGAAACAAACCAGAGCACGTGGGTCAGGAGGGCCACCAACTCTCTTCTCCTAGAGGGGACCCACGGGACACGCCTGGTTCTAAAGTAACGGTGTCACAGACCACGGCAGGGCCTTGGGGGGGGTGTCCCTTGCTGTGTGCAGCTGCGCACTGTTCGGTTCCGACTCCAGACTCCTGGAGCTCAGCGGTGCCAGCTTCACCATTTTTGCCTATGAAGAAACTCAGACCCAAGAGGTGTGCACCCTAAGGGCCACACAGGCCGTACATGGTGACAGGAGGACTTGACCTGGACACAGTGGCTTCGGGCTGAGTATTTATTTTGCTTCTGGTGTGTGAGCCTAGGGTGGGCCTGCCCTGGATGTGTGCACCAGCAGGCGTGGGGGGTGGGACGCAGCGGGAAGTTGGCCTTGGGACCTTCTGTAAACTACCCAGTTCCCTCAGTGACAGTCCCTTGAGCTGTGTCTTCCTCGCTGTGTAAATCTAAATGGAGAAGGAGGCTGGTGTCAGCTGTCACTTCCTGCTGGGGACCTGTGGAGCACTGAGCTCTGGCCTGTGTGCTCATGCAAGGCACGGCCAGGGGGGTCGCGCCTCTGAGCTTCTGACCCTAAAGGTGCAAAAGAAAGAAGTTAGCCCCCAGCCTCCAGGTACCCCCACATCTCTCATGCCTGTGACCCCTCGCGCTCTCTTAACGTCAAGTTAATGGTGTAAAAGACCCATTTTTGAAAGCAAAGAAAGTCGAGCGCCTGACAGGACAGATGCTGCATCTTTGCAGGTTCCTTCCTGGGGACAGAGGTGCTGGAAGGTGCAGCCAGAGGACGTTTATCGGGCTCTGGTTCAAGGATGCTCGTTCATTTCAGTAGTAGCACGTGGTGGAAAGTATGCGAAAGAACTATGAAGAAGTCAGTGTAGGAATAACCTGGTGCCACCGGTCATAATTGTCACCCTCACCAACATGCCAGGCATCTTGCCGAATCCTCATGAGGACCCTATGAGGCCTAGGGATGTGAGATCCTCGCAGTTTGGATTAAAGGCAGAGAGAGGTCTAGCGTCTTGTCCCAGGTCACACAGCTAGTTGGAGGAATCAGGTTTCTGAAGCCGACTCCGTCTGTTCCAAAGTTGAGAGAGCCCAGGAATAAAGAGGACTGAGGTGACGTGGAGGGGAGTTGTCCTGGCTGCAGGGGGAGGCTCAGGGTTACAGTCAGCATGTGGCAGAGAACACTGGGGTGGCAGGGACTCCTCCTGCACCCTGGGGCCTGCTTTTCCCCTCTCAGACCTGCTGGGCCAGGGGAGGCCTCAGGGTGTGGTGGCCCCTCCCTTGCCATGGGGTGTCCTGGGGCAGTGCTGGGCCGGGCTCTCCTCGGGCTGAGCTCCTGTGGAGGGGTCAGGGGCCCTGCTTCCCTCCCGGGCAGGAGCTCTTGAAGACCAGCCTCCCCCACCAGGGAACCGCACTCCATGTAGAACCAGCCAAGTTCTGGTGGCGGCAGAGCTCAGCCTGGCTGGCAAGCGCTGGGGCGAGGGTCACGAGCAGATATCGACCTTACTGCTTCCTCTGTGAACGTCTGACCTGACCTCTGGCTCAGGGCTCGCTTTGCGGTCAGTGTGTGAGGACACTCTTTTGGAAGGGGACCCATCTGAGTCGCTGCACTCCTGGTGGTCACCTCTCTCGAGAGGGGTCACGCGGCTCTGTTGGGTGGCCTTTGACCCGTCTTTGACACGGAAGCGAGGATTGAGATCTTTGCTCATGGAAGGACCAAGCCCTGAGGACCTCTGTTCAGCCGCCTTGATGTCCACCTGTCCCTTTGAGCAGTGTCTGGTGTTGGGACTTCCTCTTGGCCCCCTCAGCAGCCTATGGAGCTGCTGACTCTCTGGGATATTCAATCACAAAGTATTTCCCTGCAGCGTGGTGCAGAGACTGCGTGGCGAGACCTTGTCCATCCTGCAGGGACCCCGTGCCGTAGTTAGATGGGCACGTTCCTTTGCTGATGCCGGGGATGGGACCCAGGACCTCTGCAGGCTCAGCTTGGCTCCTGGCTCCTCCTCTTTGGATTTCTCAGGGACTTCATCTGACATCCCAAGGCCGCAGACCTGGTTGTCACAAAGGTCTCCAGCTTGTCCACTGCTTGTTCTTTGCAAGATCTTCCAGGTTGCGCCTACCTTCCTAGCAACCTCTTTATTAATTGTGGTGGGGTGTGTCCATTCCGGTAGGTTCCAACAATGCTTGCAGCCCAGATTTCTCGGGGTGAGCTTTAGAGCTGAGACCACGTGGGTCCAGGTCTGAACTGTCACGGAAGAGGCTATCGGCCATGCTCAAGGAAGGGACGGGGGTTCTGTGGTCAGATGTCAGGGTGGGCCACCCACGCAGCCCATCTTGGGGTTCCTCTGCAGGTGAGCCTGGGGGAGTCCTGTAGTCAAGAAACCCATTTGACTTTGACTCAGCGTTTTCCAAATACCTATTAGCTTGTAGAAGTTTCCCCTTCTCGTAAAACCCTTTCATATCCTTCAGAGTCAATGTTCCACAAACACCCTGGAAACGCCCGTGGAAATGATTTGTTTCAGCTGAAAACTGCCCAGTGGCCAATGTAGGTGGTCAGCGAGAGAAGCCTGTGATCTGCAAACGCAGAGTTGTGTTTGGCCCAACTTTTTGGCCCCAAACTGGGGAACCAGTGCTCGGCTCCTGGGAAGGAGAATTTACTGTTGAGCAAAACCTCCTCAGTTGGTGTCGTGACTCACATTGTGAGATCTGGGATCTCTGTTGCCGGAAAGGTGTGGGGTGGGCTCCTGCGTCTCCACGCACCCTGGTGACTCAGGAGCGAGGACCCCGTTGAGGTCACTGGGTTCCCTCCTAGGCCAGAACGTCTAAGTCACCTGGTTCTCAGACAATGGAGAAGGCACATCTGGGACGGTCAGGGATCCATAATGAGGCCCCTGGGACACTCTTGGCATTTGCAGGACCTTTGGAAATAGCCTTTGGTTGAACAAAGCATGTCATCAAGTATGATACATAACAATACTTTTTTTTTTTTATTTAAAGAAAGAGAAGTAACTTTCGGATACAGAGGAAAAGTTAAGGATGTAGAATTCTGAGCAATGTCTAATTTTTTCCTGTTTTCTGTGGTCAACACGCCTTGCACTTGGAAAAGAGTCATCCTTGTAGGGAGGTGTACACATAGGCACGTGTGCACATAGCACACCTTACTGAAAAACTCGTCCCAAGGTGACCCTGGGGGGGTGGGTTTGGGCCTGAGCCTTGGTTTCTGGCAGTTTCTTCAGAGTCTGTTGCTCTCTGCTTTCCAGATGGGCAGCAGGTCTGGGAGATGGAAGCCTCCGTGGATAAAGACAAGAGCCAGCCCGTAAGCCTGGGGTGCGGACTTCAGGTGGCAGGGGGTCCGAGCCCCCGCCCTGCTTCCTGTCTCTGTTCTGTTTCCTTGTCCCCTCCCTCCCTCCTTCCTCCACCGCGTCTCCCACTGCGGTGGATCTGACAGGCACTCAGTAAGTACATGTCGAACCTGCGTGAGTTCAGTCTTTATGGGGGCCAGGTCCCCTGGTTTGAGCTGTGGGGTCTTAATAGACGCCAGTGCAGCCTCTTCCTTGGCCACGGCTGAAAGGCTCAGTTCCCCTTCAATCGGATTTCACCTGTCAGTGCAGGGTGCCCTGCCTTTAGGTGGGCTGGCTGAATGCCCCTGGGGTCTTGGTGGGAGTGCGGACCCTGCTGCAGTTGAGTCCATGATGACCCCTTCCTTCCAGAACATGCTTTTTGTCGAGATCCCTGAGTATCGGAACAAGCACATCCGCACCTCCGTGAAGGTGAACTTCTACGTCATCAATGGGAAAAGAAAACGAAGCCAACCTCAGCACTTCACCTACCACCCAGGTGAGGAGCTCCCCCGACTCCTGTTCTGGTGAAGGGAGGCAGCACAGTCTTGAAGCATGGGACTCGGGACTCCTATGGTCTGCCTCCAGCTGCGCTACCTGGGGCCAGGGACTCAACCTCTCTGAGGCTCAGCTTTCTCATTTGTCAGATGGCAACGTCCTCATAAGAATTATGAAAATCAAATGCACATCAAACACTTGGTGCAGTGCATGATAAGCTGATGTCAATGATATCAGCTGCTATTATTTTCCTTTGGGTGAGGGAGGGAGAAGGCCGTGAGGAGATGGGTATGGGGGGGTTGATAAGCAGATGACTGCTGTCACTGTCTTGGATGTGACCGTTCTAAAGGTCAGAAGTGGGCATGCCCTAAAGCTGCAGACCCTCGGTGGATGTGCAGTGGGTAGGCTCCTGGCGGCCAGTGGTGCTCCTGGGTGGATAACCAGGCCCCGAGCTCTCAACTCCAGATGCACATGTTCCCAAGAAAGGTGATGACTGCCATTTGTCATTCATTCATTCATTTGTCCCCAAAGTATTTGAGCATGGGGACTGTAGACATGACACAGGAGTGGGACAGATGAAATCCTGCCAACCTGAACTGACCCTGGGTGGGGCTGCTAATAGAGAAGGCTGATGTTATTGGCACATTGGGTGGGCCCTGGGCTTCAGCTCAACCATTCCTTTCGATGTAGAGGGTGTCAGTTACCTTTTGTGGGGTGTCTCATTTGAGGCCACGAGGTGTCCCTGGGCCCGGCCTCCCTGGGCCTGGCCTCCGTGCTTACTCTTTTGGCTGAGCAGGGTTGAATGAGCCCTCTGGCCCCTGGCTGGGCCAGGGACCCAGATGCTGGCCTTCAGATGGCCTCTTGAGAAGTGACTTTGGCGGTTGAGTTGGCCCTGCTGTCCCACTCACCCCCTCCTCTAACCCTGGTGCTCGGGAGGCCACCTCAGACCTGTCCTGCCACTAGTTCCTTTACTCCAGTGACAGGAAAAGTGGTTCCTGCACTTGGGGCCCCGGGGAGCTTTAGTAAAGGTGTTGGGGAAGGACGTTGCTGGTGACTTGTGCCAGGCAGCGGTGACTCTGTGGGTAGCGGTGGTCATCGTGGCACTAATGGCAAGGTAGCAGCGGCAAGGGCAGACTCCTCGCACCTTCTGCAGGCCAGTCGCTGGGCTCCGTGCCGGGTGCCCAGGTCTCAGTCTCCCACCAGCCCCACTGAGCAGTTGGGATTGCTTCCACCAGGAACAGGCGGGGAAACTGAGGCCTGGTCTTGCTCCCCAAAGCACTACAGAAGGGAAGAGGGTGAGGGCTGCTCTCTGGTCATGCCCTCCTCTGGGCAATATCTGAGTGTCCATTAAGAACAGCTGCTTTTGGGGGTCTGGAGACCCAGCACTGGACACAAAAGACAGAAGCCTTCCCCAGGACAAGCTGGCGTTCTGGAGGAGGGTGGTCAGATGATCAGGCACATAAGACAGGGACAGTACAGCAGATGGTGACATGTGGTAAGAAGGAAGAGCGGGACAGGAGCTGCTGCCAGGGTCAGGAAGGGAGGGAAGGTTCAGGCTTCAAATGACGTCTTGAGAAATGGTGCTACTTCTCAAGAAGCTGGGCTGTGACTGCCCCAGGCCTGAGTCGCACCTACCAGCCACCTTTCCAGTTTGGAAAGACCTGCCACCTGAGATCATTGCACCATGAAGTTTCCACCTTGAGAGAACTGATTGCTCAGGGAGCCTTTCGCCCCGGGGTGGTAAGTGGCAGAGCCCAGCCCTGGGATCCACCGCTGGGACTGCCTGTCGCCAGCCTCTGTCCCCTTGTCCTCGGGACACATCCGCAGCTGAAGCGCGTGCTTTCTCTCCTTGCAGTCCCAGCCATCAAGACGGAGCCCACTGATGAGTATGACCCTTCTCTGATCTGCAGCCCCGCCCCCGGGGGCCTGGGGAGCCAGTCTTATTACCCACAGCACCCCATGGTGGCCGAGTCCCCCTCCTGCCTCGTGGCCACCATGGCTCCCTGCCAGCAGTTCCGCTCAGGGCTCTCGTCCCCTGATGCCCGCTACCAACAGCAGAACCCAGCGGCCGTCCTCTACCAGCGGAGCAAGAGCCTGAGCCCCAGCCTGCTGAGCTACCAGCAGCCGACCCTCATGGCCGCACCCCTGTCCCTCGCGGACGCCCACCGCTCCGTGCTGGTGCATGCCGGCTCCCCGGGGCAGAGCTCGGCCCTGCTCCACCCCTCCCCGGCCAGCCAGCAGGCGCCCCCAGTGATCCACTACTCGCCCGCCAACCAGCCGCTGCGCTGCGGGAGCCACCAGGAGTTCCAGCACATCATGTACTGCGAGAACTTCCCGCCAGGCGCTGCCCGGCCCGGCCCGCCTCCCGTCAGTCAAGGGCAGAGGCTGAGCCCTGGCTCCTACCCCACCGTCATCCAGCAGCAGAATGCCACAAGCCAAAGAGCCGCCAAAAACGGACCCCCGGTCAGTGACCAAAAGGAAGTATTACCTGCGGGAGTGACCATTAAACAGGAGCAGAACTTGGACCAGGCCTACTTGGACGATGGTAAGAAGCGCTGCTTCCCCATTGCCGGTCGGGAAGGGCCCGGGCAGCTGCCCCAGAAGCCCACTGGGGGGCCCAGGTGTGAACGCTTGGGGCCTCTGTGTCCGCGCTTAATGAAGGGGCTTGTAGAAGATGACCTGTGAGGCCACGTAAGGATCATGTCCCCGCAGGCGCTGGGGTGGTGACGGCTTTAGATGCCCCCTCCAGCCACCCCAGTAGAGAAAGCCAACAAGAGCAGTTCTGGTCACAGGAGTGTCCCTTAAGGTCATGAACTGGGTCCCTTTAACTGCTCTCACCCTCTTTCCAATTGCCAGATTTAGATTAAGGACAGGAAAAACAGAAAGGAAAGAAAGCTAACCTCCTTTTGTTCCTATAGAGAGAAATCCCACTTTCTAGCTGGTCTTTGTGCGTGTCGGGGGAGGGGTGGAGAAGGCAGGAGCGGCCATTGAAAGGGGCTCTCAGAAGGCAGCCTGATGGGCAGGCTGCGGGCAGCCCTGCGCCATGTGTCGGGGGAACAGAGGCGCATTGATAGCGGGCGGCAGTGGCTTCCGTGGTGGAGTGGCGGCCGGTGGGTGCCTGGGCTGAGGCGGAGATGCAAGGAGGCTTTGTGTGGGTCTGAAGGTGCCCGAGGTTGTTGGCAGGAGGCCAGGCCAGAGGCGCATCTGGTTGGGCCAGCTGTGATGTGACATTGGTCTGGCTCTCAGGAAGGAGAGGCCAGTCTTGTTGGTGGGACTCACCTCAGATCAGCAAGGTGGGGCCGGGGACAAAGATGGGGCAGGCAGAGCAGCCTTCCTTGGGGGGGGACTTCCGGGGGGGTGGAAGAAGATCGGTGGTGGGCAGTTCCCAACAGGAGAGGAGACCCTGGCTGGCTGGCTGCCCCCCGCCCTTCCAGCTCCAAAGTGCATGTCACTGTTGGAAGAGCCCTTACCCAAAATGTGTGGGACCAGGGGTGTTTCAGGTTTTGGAATATTTGCCTAAGACCTTACCTGAATCCAAAAATCTGAAATCTAGAATAACTTAAAATTTCTGAGCATCATGTCATCAAAAAGTTTTGGGTTTCATAGCTTTTTGAATTTTCAGATTAATGGTTATTTAACCCGAGCTTCAGAACCTCACTTGTTTAGGGAAATTAACTCTCAGGGACCTAGCTAGGGCGTAGGAAGCGAGGCAGAGAGCTTCAGAACAGTGCCCATGGGGAGAAGGACCAGGTGTGAAATTTCAGACTCTCCGGTGTTGACTCAGGAACTGTTGACTCCTTTACACGGTCCTGATGAGCCAGGTTAGCTGGGGGGTTCTGTGACTTCTAGTAATTTCTATTAAAACTATCCACCAAAAAACGTCCTCCGGTCTCATCAAAGCAAAGGCCCCTGGGCCGCCTACCACAGGGTCGCACTGCCCTGCGAGCTTCACAAGCTGCCCCGCCGCCAGGCTGCTGTGTTAATAATGGGTTTTCTGAGCCTGGGTAGTCAGGTGCAGCGGGCCGTAGGGACACCGTGCTCCCTCTGAGTGGGAACCGTGTGCACAACCCATCCCTGGGCCGGCTGCATCCCAAGAGCTGAGATCAAGTCTCGGTGCTTCCTCTAACGGGGGTGGCCAGTGTGGAGAAGGAAGTGGACGGATGCCCCTGGGAGTGGGCAGGATGCCCCGGGGACAGGTCTGTGACTGGGCCTCCCCATCTGCGCCTAGGGGACTGTGTTGGAGGCGAGGTGCTTTATGACTAGATGAGTGGCTGCGCAGGGCAGGGGCTGGCCCAGCGACGGTGGGCTCTGGTCTCCAGGGTGAGAAATGTGCTGGCCGCTTTCCCACTGCGCCTCTCCCACATTGAAGAGGAACGGTGAGCACTTCTGTTAGGGACCTGCCGTGTCCAGAGGCCATCAGGATGCCTCAGTAGGTTGGGAGCCACGGATGGTTTGCACACATCATAGAGGAAGCCACCGAGCGTGGAGACCTAGGGCCTCCCAGGGCACCCTCTGGACAGGGCAGCTTGCAGCGTGGGGCAGGCGTTGCGGGGCAGGAATCCATGGCTTTTGAAAGGTGGGCGGGGAACCTGAATTGAAGGTTTGTTTTTTTTTTTTTTAGAGAGACAGAATTTTTTTAATGTTGATTTTTTAGTTTTCAGTGGACACAACATCTTTCTTTTGTTTGTATGTGGTGCTGAGGATCGCACCCAGCGCCCCGCGCATGCCAGGCGAGCGCGCTACCGCTTGAGCCACATCCCCAGCCCCAAAAGCAAGGTTTTGAAAAGTGCATTCACTATGGGGCTTCTTGTCCTCTCAGTGGGGAGTAGAAAGCCTTCTCCAGGCTGGCCACAGGGCAGAGGGGGGTGCTGGGCGGTGCGTGCACCCCTGACCTGAACCCCCGGCTCTGCCCGGCCTGGCCTCATGTGCCCAGTGACGAGCCAGGTCGTGGCCACTGGAAAGATGCAGGTGCAGCCTCCCGATCGACCAGGCGGCCTCCTGGCTGGGCATCCAGCGCACATTCCCAGATGTCCCTCTGCGAGGACGTGGGAGTCAGACTTCTCGGTCTGCTGTTCTGTGTTTACTTCTGACAAGTAGACGGGTCACGTCTCCGTCTGGCTGGGGCAGGTCCCAGGCCTCGGCTCCCTCCCCATCCCTTTCCTGTGTGGGTGCAGGGTTCTCTCACGAGAGGCATCTGGCGCATGAGCCCAGGCCGCGTGGCGGCACAGCGTGCTCCAGGGTGGGGGCTTCTCGGATTTCCCTTAGGATTCTGCCAAAGTTGGCTTTCCCCAAACCTGGGTGAGAGCCTGGCTTCCGTGTGCCGGGGGCCCGGGAGGGGTCTGCAGCTGGAGGAGGAAGGGGGCAGGCAGGCAGCAGAGAACAGGAGGCCTCCGGCCCTACACAGATGCACACGCTGAGCTGGAGGTTGGCCTGGCCTCTCCCCTGGGGTCTAGGAGCCCCCAGCATTTGGCGCTCTCTCCCCACGCCTGGCCCGTGCCCCAGAGGGCCTCATGGGGCATCCTCCCGCCTGCTCACGGCCTCTTCCCAGCCGGCCTCCCTGCACACAGAAGCTGTGTCTAGGACGCTCTGTTCTTCCTTGCAGCCCAGGACTCTGCTTCTGCTGCCCCCCCCCCCCAAAAGCCCGCGATGCTTGCAAAACACTCTTGAAATAGCGAAGCGGGTGCAGGACCCACCACCCACCCCGCACAGCCCCTTCCTCACGGATCGGTGGAAGCAGAGAACGTGCTCACTCCCACCTGTCTTCTCCCTGTTTTTGTCTCCTTCTGTGACATCTCCTGTCCCAAAGCCCCTGACATACCTGGGGAGCACCCACAGCTCCTCAAAGTAGCTGGACCTGTGAGTCCTGCCCTTCCCCCTCCTGCTCTCCTCCCCAGCCCTCCCCAGCCTTAACCCTTCCTCCTTCCCTCTGTCCTTGGCCCTTGACCTGTCTGTCCCTGCCTCGATGTCCACCGCCAACTCCTCTCCTCACCTATAAGTACTAGCCAGCTACCGCTCTATGCCAGGCACCCCCTGGACCTCAGGGGCACACTGGTGGACAAATCAAGCGGCGTCCTTGTTCTCGTGGGCGTGTTTTTTGATAGGGTGGACATTAGTATATAAGGTGATAAATGAGGGACCTTCAGACAGCAGTGGAGGCTCTGAGGGAGACCCAGCAGGTCAGGAGCTGGGGGGCAGCTGGCTGGGGGTCCCTGCAGAGCAGCTGAGCCGAAGGAGCAGGGAGATGGAGCAAGGGCATCAGGGAGGGAAGGAGCCACGGTGGTAGAGGCCACAGAGTTGGAGGCCACTCTGGTGACCACTGAAAGATGGGGATAGTAGGGGGGCAGGAGAGCAGGCACCTGGTGCTCCCGGGCCCACAGGGGCTCAGTCCTCTCCCCGTCTGTGGGGTTCTGTTCTTCAGTCTCATTTACTCGAGGTCAAGCTCGGCCCACAACGTCCAATGGAAAATACATGGTTCATACGATTTCTTAAAATAACGAGTAAGTTTGAAGTGACTCGTACTAGGGTGTGTCGTCACAGCGCTGTGCTCGTTGCTGGCCGTCCTTGTGAGCCTCCCGCTGCGCCTGATGTGCAGTTGGGCTCGACCACAGGTGCGAGGGTGCGGGGAGCCCCTGGTACACTGGGGGCCCTGTGCTCGCGTGTCCCCAGGCCGAGGGGGCTACTGCTCTGCGTTCGAGACAAACCGGCCCTGGAAGGCAAGTCCCAGAGCAGGAAGGTGATGTCCTGTGCAGACGAGGGCCGTGTGTCCTCCACACACCTGGAGCTGCCCAGCGGGCCGTTGGATGGCCCTCTTGCCACTTCCCTACAGTGGAGGGGACAGCTGTGCATTTTAACGCCCCCTCCCAGGTGAGCGGGAGACGCTGGGGAAAGTGCCCCAGACGTGACTCCCCGGGTGCCGTTGACTCCTCTGCTGAACTGGGCCTTCTGAGGTCACCAGGCCACCTCACCACCAACTCTACCACAGGCTTTGGGGTCATGGGTGCAGCCCAGCAGCCTCGAGACACAGCGTAGACTAGAGGACTGAGGGGGAGGCCTGCGGTCTCCGCTCAGGAGATCCTTGACCCCGTTCTAGAAACCTCTGGAGAAAGGATGTGGTCTGCTACTATCTGGGGCCGGTGGCCGGCGAGGGCAGCACGTGCCGCGTGTGCAAGTGTGAGAGCTTTCGCTTGTGGAGGAGGCACATAGGTCACCGCTCGTGGTCGACTCTGTTCTTCAGGACTTCGTAGAAGTCCTTGGAAATCGTGTGCCCAGATACATGGATTGAATGAACTTGAATATTTTGCTCTGTATTTAAATATCTAAATAACGAACATCCAGAAACCGGCAGTCTACTCTGCATAGGTCACGAGTGGGCCACGCGACATTGTGCCTGCATCATGGCAGAATGTGGTTAGTGCCCCAGAAACTCACGTGTCCCTCTGTCCCCTCCACGAGGCGCCCACTCTCCTGCCTTCTAACCACAGAGGTTCATTTTGTTTCGCAAACAAAAGCCACACAGTGGGTCTCTTCTGTGTCTGCCTCCTGGGC